TTTAAAATATTTATTTTATTTTATATATATTTATGTTTCCGTCAGTGAAATATATATGAAGAATTGATTTCACTACATCTATCGTAGCGCACCCTAATAGCCGCTTCTTCTTAAGCATACCTTATTTAATTGCTCTCAACAACCCAGTAAGTTTTTCAAGTGAAAAAAATATTATTGGACATTCCATCTTCTTAAAGCAACACTTTAATGTATAATAATTTCTATATATGAGCCTGTTATAATTCTATTTGTACACTTGCCTTTATACCGTTATACGTACTCCAGGCATATATCTATATATAGCATTAACTATATTTTGGAAGATTATGACAAAATATATTCCAATTATTAGAACAGCACACTTCAAAATACATATAAATAATTAATTACTATAAACAACGTACAAAACAAACTAAATAAGTATAGAAGCAAGTTTTTTTTTTCTCAAAGATATCACTAAGCGTTTGGTGTTACATTTTGTCCTCTAAGGATACTCATTTAATTTGCTTAATTAAGCTAATCAATTTTGGCTATAATTAATACGTAAAAAGTCCATATAGGGATATTAAAAGAAAACAAAATGCTACTAACACTTATAGTAGGAAACTTTTCGTATATAAAAAAAATGTTTAATTAGTCAAAAAGACTAGTAAATATGAAAGCAATGATAAAAGTTTGACTATAAGAAAAGTTAGGTAGCATAAGTTAATAATAGAGTATATTTTATAGTAATAAGATTTATGTATTGGACTATTGGAGTGCTGTTGTTTCTAACCAAAAAGCTTATAATATATAATTGTAGTACTAATCAGCACAACATCCTATTGTTGACTTTGTTTCCTAGATAGCTCTTTGTACAAGCAAATCTATTTTTCCTAATTAATCATGTTTCAATAAGATTATTAAAATATATTTGTACTTTAAAATGATTGCTGAGGCTGCTATTATTCCGAGTTTGGAATCTAAAGGGTACAAAATATTAATAAAAATTCTAAAACGGTATATAAAATTTTATATTAACTAAAACGGTAAAATCGTTGCACCAATAACGACTTACCCCACCGAAAAAAGCAAAATCGTTGCCTCTACAACGATTTTGCAAAATCTGATTTTTTCTTTTACAAAAAAAGAAATCGCTGCCCCAGCAGCGATTTTTCAAAAAAAAATATATGAATAAATTGCTGCTCCCAGCAGCGATTTCATAAAAAAATATTTTAAAAAAAATTAAGGAAATCGTTGCAGGGGCAGCAATTTCAAATTTTTTATTTCTTATTTTTAAATCGCTGCTTAATATTTTTTTTAAAAAAATTATGAAATCGCTGCTGGGAGAAGCGATTTCCTTAATTTTTTTAAAATTTTTTCTTTTAAGAAATCGCTGCTCATTTTTTTAATTTTTTTTTTGAAAAATCGTTGTTGGGGCAGCGATTTCCTATTTTTTTTTCTTCTATAAATTGCTGCTTAGGCAGCGATTTCATTTTTTTTAAAAGAAAAAAATTAGTTTTTGCAAAATCGGCAGCGATTTTGCTTTTTTCGGTAGGATAAGTCACTGTTGGTGTAGCGATTTTACCGTTTTGGTTAATATAAATTTTTATATACCGTTTTAGAATTTTTATTAATATTTTGTACCCTTTAGACTCCGGACTCCTATTATTCCACCGGCTCTCTTTAATCGTTTTCTAGAATTAATTAAGTTGTGATAGTTTTAAAAGTATACATATAGAGCGCGAGCACCTATTATAGATAAATAAGTGAAAGAGTTGAATATAATTTTCAGAGACCATATTTGAGCTACTTCATCTTTTGACTTAGACCAAATGAGTTGACTGTAATATAAGATAAAGTACCCCTCAACCTATATCCAAAATATCAGAGATATACTTATACTATATTAAGGTCTTATTACCCTCTAAACTTATTTTATAAATAATTTTCTACCTCTTTTTGACCTACGTGGTACTAGTTTGAAAAAAAATCAACCAGCATTAGACCCACAAGATAGTGTCACGTAGACCAAAAAGGGGTGGAAAATTATTAATAAAATAAGTTCAGGGGGTAATAGGGTATAAGTGTGTCTCTAAAATTTCGGACATAAATTGAGGGGTACTTGTGCATTATCCCTTTTAAAAATATATAATCTAAGTTTATCATACATAGTAATTCAATTGCAAAAGATAAATTTTATAAATTAAGTTATATTTATTTGAATCAAGTGAAGCGTGCAAGATAAGTGAAATCATACAAAATGAATTCGTATAGATTTTATCCCGTTCAACTCCATATATATCTAACACAATATTTTATATTTATTCCGCCCTTACGAAAACTTCAATCGGCACTATCCTGCAATCATCATAAATATAATTGTTTTTACTTTGTTGGGTAATATACCAGATTGCATGCTAAATTTGCATATCTTTTTTTTATTATTTACATGCCTCATCATTTTTAAGAATCTAAGGTAACTTCAATATTATTCTCTTCGTCCACTTTTAATTATAATAGTTTCTTTTTTAAGGGTCAAATGATAATAATTTTGATTAACATCTTATGATATTTTTTCATCACATTGATATGCAAAAAAATGTTATTACAATATTTTCGTATAATTTTTAAATATCTAGATTTATTATTTGAAATATCGAATTAATATAATTTGACAAAGGAAATAATAGTTTTCAATTATTTGGAAGTCGTATTTTCGCATAGAATTTTGTTGATGCGAATTATATGTTTTTTTTGTCAAAAGGTCATTATTAATTACTCCCTCTGTCTATAATTGTTGAGTTTTTGGCCAAAAATAACCTTAAATTATATCTCAAACTTAAATTACATCCTTAAAATACTATTCTTAGCAGAAAATATCCTTCAAGTATTTAATAGTGAACAATTTTCATCCTTCTAATAGATATCATCAAAAAAACTATTCGATCCTACAAAAATATGAGCAGTTTACGTGATTATCAACAAAGTTTTCCTAGATAATTTCATTAATTGCTATAAAAATTTTCGAAAAAAATATTAAAAATCTTAGAAATCATTACTTACTAAAACAAAAAAAATATTTGAAAGGTGTAATGATTTATGATTTGCTCTTTTTCTCATGTAGTAACGGAAAGAAGGAGGAGCTTAGTAGTTATCTTTACTTTTTCAAAAAAATACTCTATTTTTCCTATTTAGTTGTCCACTTTATAAAAGACACATATATTTATGATGATAATAATAAACATAGTGAAGTTACAATTTTACCCTAAATAAATATGATTTCAAAAAGGATGAATTAAAACTATGAAATTTTCAAGAAGTTTAAATGAGAGTATAATAGGAAAAAAAATTGTCCTTTCTTGATTTGTCAAAATAGACAAGTAAATAGGGACATCTAAAAAAGGAAATATGGACAAATAAATTGGGATAGAGAGAGTTACTATATTTTGATCAATAAACTTTTAGGTCATTCTGCTATTGAAGTGATCAAAATATTGATTATGTCTTGTATTCGAGTTTAATTCTACATTATTATTAGAAGCAAAAGTCTTCAACAAACGCCGCTTCTAGCATATTCAATTGAGAAGAAACATATCGATTCCAAATAGAAGAAAAACTTCAATAATATTTTTTGTTTGAAAGTATAATTTTTTTAATGTAATATCGATATCTAAATATTCGACTAATAATATATTTTTAATATCTAAATTACATGATAAGTAAATGAAAAACTATCAAATTAAAATATTTTGCATAATGCTAAACTCAATTACTGAAAAATTTCACGATAGTATTTTTTGTATACCTGAAAATAATAATCACGAAGGAATGACTTGATTTTTATGATAATTCAAATAGAAGGATGAAAATTGTTCACTTTCAAATACTTGAAGGATGTTGTCTGCTGAGAATGATACCTTAAGAATGTAGTTTACGTTTGGGGTATAGTTTAAAGATGTATCTAACAAAAACTCATAATTATTTAACAGGTATACTAAAAATAAATGTCCAAGTTTAATCATCAATTTAAACAATCAATAAATAAGTAGTCATTTTCTTTCTTCAATTTTGCGCTTAATAATTATTCAATTTTATTCAATTAAAAAATTATATAAACTTTTGATATTCTTAATATAATAAAATTATATTAATTAAATTACACCTTATATTAAATTTAATATGTAGGAATACAATAGACCATATCCAAAAAGCCACAATCAAGCCATAAAAATATTTCGCATCTTGAGAATGACTCTTTACCAAACTTTGTAGCATGTGTTGTCTCAAGTCCCAAGTTTACGAATCACATATTTTTTTTATTGATTAGGTTGAGTGTTTGATCATTGATGACTTCGTTTTATCAAGAGAAACAAAAAGAAAGATGTTATTTTTCATAACCTATTACGTATAATATATCTGTCCCTAATTATTATTATTTTTTTATAATTATTTTTAATTATTTGTTATTTTGATAATTCAAGAAATGATAATTTTTTTTACCTATTATATCTACAATTAAATGATTAATTACTTTGAAAAATATAGAACATTTCACCACTTTATAATTAACAAGGGTAAAATAGTAAATTTGCTACGTCATTAATTATTTTCTTAATAGATGTGTCAATTCAAAAGTGGACAAATAGAAAAGGACAGAGGGAGTAATAAATACTTATTTTATTAGAGAGAAAAAAAGATGTATGTGGAACATAAATATATATATATATATATATATATATATTTTTTTTTTTAATGTTTATTATCCAAACAACTCCCGTTATTATCAAATGAACATGTTCGATAATTTAAAATGATCATAGAGCCCATCGAAAAGAATCTATTATTTTTCCGTTATTTATTATATTCACATTTTATATAAAAAAAAATTTGAGCTTTCCATTGCGCCAAGCCACTTGTCCAAGTGTTTAGCACTTTGTGCAATTAATTGGGCCCATTAATCTTCCAAATTACAAGCCCAAGTTATTTCTTCCCAAATTAATTTCGGCCCGCCATTTCCAACCTGGGTTTCTACTTCCCAATAGTCAATTGAACCACCACCACAAAGTACACAACTCACTCTGCTGTGACACCGCCGGCGACGATCTGCTTAACTCTTCATCTTTCTCCGGCGACGACGTATAATTGTAGGTTAAGCCCTCTTTCTTCCTCATTAGTGAAAATTTCTAATCCTTTCTCCAAATGCTTTTTTTGTGTGTCTGCTTCATATACCAATCAATTCTCTGATTTTCAAGGATTTTCTAATCGTTTCTCTTATCAGAAAAAAATAATTAAGCTCTAGAAACAACTTTGAATTTTATCATATTTTAGACAGCATAGTCTAATCTTGGTTTGCTGTCAGAACATTGATGGACTGCAACATTCTATCATTGAGTAGGTCCTGTAGCTTGGCTAGTAATCTTCGGGCAATTCCTACACGCAATACTGTATTTTATCGGAAATATTCTTATCTACCTGCAGGTATTACTTTCAGAAGTTCCTTCTTTTGCAGAATGTTGTTTGCATTTGTGCATGGCATTTTTCGCAGAACTTTTAATTGGTTGCTTGTAATTGTTCTTATTGGTGAAAACCATTGCAAAGTTCTATGCTTTATATTAAACGTGTCTTCCTAGAGATTTACTGTTGGGGTTAATGTGTCATATTGTTTTTGATGGTTATTAACAGGGTTAATTCGTAAGTCAATTAGGTGCTCAATGAAGTCGTATAAGTTATCGGAGCTTACAACCTCTGAGGTTGACAGCCTCAAGGCTCGTCCTCGCATTGATTTCTCCTCCATTTTCGGCACAGTGAGTTACCAATGCTTCTTGAACTAAATCATTTATCCCCCTTAAACTTACATATTTACAATTCAATTTAGTTGACTTGTTTTGAATGTTGAATGAATTGTATCAGGTTCAACCCATTGTTGACGATGTTCGTAATAGAGGTGATGCTGCAGTTAAAGAGTTAGTGCTTGTTTTATATTTATGACTTACTGTATTTGTTTCATCAACAAATCTTATCCTGTATCTGCTATATCAAAATGCCCATTTCCCCTTTCCCTTTCCATAAGACTGCAGATATGAGTTTATCTTTGATGATTTAAGGAAAAAAACCATGCAGAACAGGTGTTATTGATCCATAGAAAATACCAAAGAAATGCTCCATGTGGAGGTGCTAGACTATCATAGCATATATAAACAATTTGTGTAATATTAATGAATGATGTAAAGGGCATCCCTCCTAACATATTATGTTGTGTGTCCTCATTCTTATTGCACGGACCAAAATGATGGAAATAGTAAGTGGCATAAAGATGAGGTTTATCATGCTCCACATTTCAATCTCTGGTACAGTGTTTTTAAAAATGAAAAGTCCAAAAATATGACAAGGTTCCACATAGAAAATCCAACTGGATGACCTTTGTGTCTTTGCAACTGTTAGCCTAAACATAAAATAAAAAAGATTAATGATTCTATATTGCCGTATCAGACACCCTCCCTTTCTCTCTCTCTCTCTCTCTCCATTTTAAGTTCCCTTTGAGAACACTGGACATTGTGTCAACTTCTTAGTTACACTTTCTTTCATTAATTAAAGCTAATAACAAGTATCTTTGGAGCGTGTTTCTAATGTTTCTGTAATTGATTCTATCTACTTTAGTTGACTTTTCTTTTTAGTTTGATGGACAGAGTAATTCCAAACCTTCAGAATATCCCCTAGTTTAGATCACTTATCATTATTTTGGAGTTAATAGTTCCATGTGAAATTAAATTTTGCCAATATAGTTAGTCTGTCTTGTTGAATTGATGTTACTTTATTTGATATCTGTAATGCTCAGTTACACATCGCGGTTTGACAAAGTTGTACTGGATAAGATAGTTGAAGATGTCAGTGAGCTTCCAGATCCCGAGGTATGATTGAAGAGAGTATGCTGTTCTCAGAATAATTTTCTTGAAAGACAAATGATTTCAGCTTTTTTAAATTTCGATCTAATTGCTTCTTTATTTGACTCAGCTCGATTCATCTGTTCGCGAAGCATTTGATGTGGCATATAACAACATATATGCCTTTCATGCTGCTCAAAAGCCTGTTGAGAAAGTTGTTGAGAACATGCATGTAAGTTTTGTGGATATTATACAGGATTGATCTTAGTTGTGTGGCCTTATATAACAACATTATCTTTATACTTTTATTTTTCCTTTTAACTTCTGTATTTCCTACTTTGTCAGGGGGTCAGATGTAAACGTGTCGCTAGGAGCATTGCCTCTGTAGGGCTTTATGTTCCTGGTGGAACTGCTGTTTTACCTTCTACAGCTCTGATGCTTTCAGTTGTATGGTGATTCAATTTTTCGTGTTAATTTTCTGCTCTTATTAATCATTCTTTCAATGCTAATTCCCTAAGTACAAAATTATCAATTTTTCCCTTTGGCCAGCCAGCACAAATTGCTGGATGTAAAACAGTTGTACTTGCAACTCCACCTTCTCGGGATGGCAGCATTTGCAAGGTACTTGCTTACCATCTCACTTTTTTAGTATGACTTAAAAGTATCAGTCACCATTTATTTGGATGCCTTTCTTGTAGGAAGTGCTTTATTGTGCCAAAAAAGCGGGTGTGACCCACATCCTTAAAGCTGGAGGTGCTCAGGTATATGATAATATGCTTCCTTGATCTTGCATTCATCAGCCGATGTTGCGTCTGAATCATTTTCAGTTAGTTTCTTAATTTTTGCAAACACCTTTTACTTACTGGGACACTTACTGTAACTTTCTTAAATCCCACAGGCAATTTCTGCAATGGCCTGGGGCACTGAATCATGCCCAAAGGTACTACTTTCACCTTAAGGAATTGAAACCTGGCATATTGTATCATACAAGCACTAGTATACTTCTATCGTTTTGCTGAGTTTACGCATGAGACACAGAATAATGTAATTAACACGAGTACATTCAGACAATAAATCCTGGCTTGAGTAGACACTAGACACATATTATATTTCTGAAGTGTTCCTTTTCCTTTTTGTATAAAGTAAGAGATTTATCATTGTGTGGACATCAAGAAGATGCCAAATTACAAAGGTATAACCAGTTAGCTTCAGTACAGAAGGGAAGAAACATTTCAGCACTGGTACAAGTAATCTAAGCTAGAACTAAGGAGTGAACAAAGTCCAGAAACATGTCAATCCTATTAACATGTGAAAGAAATTCCAACTAAACAACTTGACTAAACATTGTCTTTAGAGATTGGGTAGGAGTTGATAACTTGATATACCATCAAAGCATGTGTGATTTTTTTGCTAGGTCGATGAACACCATCTGTAAGTCATTGTTATTATTATTAGGATTAGAATCCAGGTGAAGGAGTTTTTCTTAGTTAGATACCGAAAAAGAAAACTACTTTTTTTGTGTTGAGCAAATCTAATTAAGGCTTAATAAATCAAGGATGGGACTAAGAAGGCTAGTTAGTACTATTGGTTTTAGTCAAAAGCACAAGAGAACGAGAATAGAAGAATTTAGGCTGGGGAGGCAAGCAGGTCCAGTCTGATATTACTCAGGAAAGTCTTCTTTTTTTTCTGCAGTGGTTTAGGGGCAGTTTTATCCCATAAAATACAGAAAAAGTTTTTTCGAGTATTTGAGAATATGCCTTTTGTTTTTTCTAAAAAAGTTCTCTGGTACTTGGCTGAAAGTTATATTTTATTAGGGTTACATTCACTTCTCAGGATAGATATCAAGTAAGATGCCCCTATGTACAGTGTATGCTATTGACCCTTATTGGTACATTGACAATATTTCTTACAAAGAAAAGTAATCATGGATTGTACAAGCACATAAACATTGATCTGTTCCTTATACATCTGTAAAGCTTCTACCCTCAATGTCCTTGAATCCTCAATCCTGTGGTTGCCTTGTATACTTTAATGAAGTTGGTTTCCATTCTTATTGTCCTTTGGATCACTTTACAATCGAACTTTCCTCTTCTTTCTTTGATAATATAAAAGGGGAAGCATTATGTACATTGCCATCTATGCCAGGTTGAGAAGATATATGGGCCTGGAAACCAGTATGTCACTGCTGCAAAAATGATTCTGCAGGTATTGGTTTCAAGTAAGAGACAATCTTAGGTTAGGGATATTTGCAGTGTAGATAAATGTCACTCGTAATAAATACGCTGCGAAGACTAATGTCTTCACTTAAAATTGCCTTTTGCTAAGTAATAGTCTCTCTCAACAGAACAGCGAAGCGATGGTTTCAATTGACATGCCTGCTGGGCCTTCTGAAGTCCTTGTTATAGCTGACAAGCATTCCAGTCCTGTCCATGTGGCAGCAGATTTACTTTCACAGGTATCAGCTCCATTTTCACTGCTTGATCAAGTTTCCATTCATACTTTCTGTGTCTGAATCAAGTGCTCTTGTATTTCACATTGGGACAGCTTATGTCTCTTCTGAGATTAAAATAAGAGAAAATTTAAGCTATTCACAGTGAAGAAGATCAACTGTTAATAGATTAAACTGGAACTTCCATCAATTCCTATCTATCATTGTGGCAAAGACTGGGCTACCTCTATTTATTCTTATCACCTCAAATGCATTTTTTCAGGCGGAGCATGGGCCAGATAGCCAAGTCGTACTGGTTATTGCTGGGGATGGTGTTGATCTAAATGCCATTCAAGAGGAAATCATGAAGCAATGTCAAGCACTTCCAAGGGGAGAATTTGCACTTAAGGCACTAAGCCACAGCTTCACTGTGTTAGCACGGGATATGCTGGAGGTATGTTTGTTATTTGTTGATCTTGGTTGGCAGCAATTTGCACAGAGTTGGATGTATACTTGCTGTCATAAAATAATTCTGCCTGAACATAATATAAATAATCAATTACATCATATATGTGAATGCAATATTCCTTATAAATTTCTGTCAGCTACAGCCTTTTCTCTTAGACTTAAATCACAATCTTGTCCAGGCAATTTCCTTCTCAAACATGTATGCACCTGAGCATCTGATAATCAATGTGGATGAAGCTGAGAAGTGGGAAAATTTAATTGAGAATGCAGGTACTTTAGAGGCATGCACTTGCTAAGGTTCTCTTTTTCCATTTGGCATATCCAATCTTCTGTTGGTGTTTTTGGGCTTATTGGGCTGCTGATTGTTTATGCATATCTGAAATATGATCCACAAGCTTCTCTTGGTTTTTTTGCCACGTTAAGGCGAGATATATAGTGGATAATATGTTCATTTTTATTCTTCCTATCTTCCTGAATTTCTTATGTGAGTTTCCGCCCAGCCTTTTGTCATCCTCCTTAGAACAAAACTTCTCCATATGATTTAACAGCCTTCTTTCTTTACTTGAGATTTCTGTTTCATTTTCTTTTTCTCCCCTTGTCTCATCATCCAGCTGGTTAATTTTAGGGGTTTTAGGCTGTATTGAACTGTATGAGATCGATAGTTTTTTCTTCTTTTTATTCCTTGAACTGTATGATTTAGCCCTCAAGATGACAAATAGAAGGTTCATGATGGCTGGCTATTAGCGAGCCGGATAAGAAACTTCACTAGTGATCCTTTGAAGTGCTTGCATTTTTCTTAAATTATTCCGTTTCTCTTTTTTTTAGAAGATATTCATGCACGGGTAGTTGACTAGCCTCTTCTTTTTTCCGCATAGTGGTCAGTCAGCTTGAGTTTCTAGGATAAGCTCTAATATTTTCACTTCGGATGGTGGCTGGAATAAGCTCTAATATTTCGCTTTTGGTATTGACATACCATATTTTTCTCTGGGCTTAAAGAAATCTTGATTTACATTACAGTAGCATAGATGAGGCAAATGATGTCTTCAGTGTTCGTATGTAATACCAGGTAACTGGAAAGTAGGGTTGGAGCCTTGGAGGTTCATATTTTACCATCAATTAGCAACTTACTACTGATCAACCATGCTTCCCTTTGGTTAATCTTAACATATAAATAATCTACTCTGACTACTTGCAGGTTCTGTATTTATGGGAAAGTGGACACCTGAGAGTGTAGGAGATTACGCAAGTGGAACTAACCATGTTCTTCCAACTTATGGGTATGCACGGATGTATGGTGGGGTCTCTTTGGACTCTTTCTTGAAGTACATCACTGTGCAGTCTTTGACAGAAGAAGGGCTGAGGAATCTTGGTCCTTACGTAGAGAAAATGGCCGAAGTTGAGGGTCTGGATGCCCACAAGAGGGCTGTAACCCTCAGACTACAGGACATAGAAGCGAGACAAGTATCACACTCAAGATGATCTCTCTATTTGTTTGCATGAAAGAATAATTATTGAGCATTGCAGCTGAGGTCGTTTATTAGTTTTGTTGAGGGGGTTTGAAGCTCTATATTACCTGCACTCTGATTTTTTTCCTTCCAAGTGTTGAATCAAACACACTTGGGAAGAAAAAACAGTAATGTGTAATGGTTACCATGGATGAGCTAGTGCATCTGCTGTATTTGTTTGAAATAAAATCAATCCAGATATCTGAGAAGATGATTATATCAAATCTAATTGTACTGAGTTTGAGGGTTGTATTTTAATTGGTCTTTCACCATGTTTTGTAACAAAAGTTGTATTGGAGCAAACATGTACTAATATTTTGGATTGTATCAAGAGGTTGCTTAGGCTACATATAATGAAGAGCTAATTTGAATTTGCATTGGACATACAAAATTAAGAAGTTCCAGAACTCAAAATCAAGAATGCAACACGTCATCTCAAAAAGCACCAAGAACAACCACATGCAAGGTTTGGCATTAGAGCTCACTAAATTCGAATTTGCGTGAATGTCTCATATTGGCGTAAACGTTACTTAATCAAGGCGATTCCACTGTTAAACGTTATTTAACCAAGGCGATTCCTCGGTGGAGGACTCAAACCGTGACCTTTGTCATTGTAACTTCACACAAAAAAAAAAACTCATAAAGTTCCTTAACTATGGTAGTAGGTCTAAAATGGTTTCTTAACTGTATATTTGTTAGATTTAGTCTTTCAATTATTCAAAAATTTATCAAATTTGATCTCTTAACTATATTTTTATCGGATTTAATCTCTTAATTATACATTTACTAGTTTATATCCTTTAAGTATTTTAAAACTTCTCATGTTTGGTTTCTATTCATTTTTTTATGCAAATAACCAAGGTTTTATATTAACGGAGTCCCGTCTCGAGAAACATAAGTCATAATTTTTATTCAACGGATAATAGAATGAAACAGATTATTGCTACTAATCATTTGAAAATATTTAACTTAAATTATATATTGCTTGTTAAATTCAAAATTTGAACTCCAACAATTTTACTAAAGGAAATTTATTTAATTTTTTTCAGAAATTGAAATTTATAAAATAGTAGATTTGTAACTTTTTTTTTAGTTTTTTCTAATACATCGATTTTATTGTTTTATTCATTTTATTTTGCATAGCGAAAATTAATAAATAATATCAAAGTCTCTTATTATTCTTTTATATGAAAAATTAAAACTAAAAATATTTGTGTTAATTGCCAACCGTTAATTGCCAAGCAAGAGAACACAATATATTCAAGTCATTAGCAATAATTATATGCTTCATTTTAGCCTCAATTCAATAAAATTAAAACTTATATTAAAGAGTTAAAAGATCTAACTTTACAAAGAATATCATTAATATTAAATCTAAGATATTTGTGTAGAAAAAAAAAACAAAAACTAAATCTAATAAATTTTTGAATATTTAATAAACCAAAATCGATAAATATATAATTAAAGGGAAAAGGGTCAAATGTGCCCCTAAACTATTAAAAAAAGGTCTAGATATGCCCTCCGTTTAATGTTTGGCTTTTGGTTCAAATATGCCCTTATGGGCGTTAGTTGTCATGTTGGACCTATCCAACTCATTTTTCATTTATTTAAATGCCACACGGAATTGACATGTCATTTTGACCTTACCACATAACATTTATATGAAAATGGAAAGATATTCGAACTCATAAACACCTAATTCGACCGATAAATTAATCCCTTTTTAAATAAATAATCCGACCAATTTTCAACAATTTTGTTTAATTTTAATTTTTTTCCGATAAATTTCGAAAATGAGTAGTTGATTAATAATAAAAAAAGTAGGAAAATATGAAATAAGTATAAAAGTAACACCAAAAATTCATAAATAATTATAGTAACCTTAAATTCAATTTAAATATTTTTTTAAAAAAAAATTATTTTTTTCGATAAATTTCGAAATGAGTAATTGATTAATAAAAAGTACGAAAAAATATAAAATTAACGGCAAAATTAAAAAATAAATACAGTAACATTAAATTCAACAATTTTAATTTTTTTTTAATTTTAATTTTTTTCGACAAATCCCAAAAATGAGTTTATTAACAAAAAAAAATAATAAAAATTATGCAAAAAATTCACAAATAAAAGATAGGAAAATATGAAAAATATAAAATAATTTTTTTTTGAAATTATTGAATTTAAGTTTACTATATTTATTTGTGAATTTTGACATGTATTTTTTATTTTGTTTTCATATTTTATTTTTTTTATTAAAAAATTACTCATTTCGAGGATTTGCCGAAAAATATAAAAATTTTAAAAAAATTGTTGAATGAAATAATACTATATTTATTTGTGAACTTTTGGCATTAATTTATATTTTTTATTAATCAATTACTCATTTTCGAGATTTATCAAAAAATAAATAAAATTTAAAAAATTGAAATGTTAGATTTAAGGTTAATATATTTATTTGTGAATATTTGACGTAAATTTTATATTTTTTTTATATTTTTCCTATTTTTATTAATCAATTACTCATTTTCGGGATTTATCGCAATAATAAAAATTAAATAAAATTGTTAAAAATGGGTTGGATAGTAAATTTAAAAGGAGCTGATTTATGGGTCGGATTAGGTGTTTATGAGTTCGAATATCTTTTCATTTCCATATAAATGTTATGTTAAAAGGTCAAAATGACATGGCAATTCCATGTGCCATTTAAAGAAATGAAAAATGAGTTAGATATGTCCAACATGGCCCATAAGGGCATATTAGGACCAAAAGTTGGACGGCGAGGGCATGAGTGAACCAAACTTTTAACGGAAGATATATCTGAACCTTTTTGAATAGTTTAGGGACATATTTGACTCTTTTCCCATAATTAAAAGAATCAGAATTAATAAACTTACGAATAGTTATGAGACTACATAGCCTTTTTTTGTTTAAAAAGAAAATATGTACAAGTATTGTACCTAATAGTACAACCTCTGTGCTACAGAATTTTGCAAGCGTATCAATATCCCTTGAATTTCCTTTTTCTTCTTCATCATCATCATCATCATCAAACCCCATACTCCAAAACAATAGAGTCCAGAATTGTTGATTTTCGTTTGTTATGGAAGATACAAAACCAAAAAAGCAAGCCAACAACGGAGACTTATTTGATGATGCGGCGGACGAATTCCCCTTCGACGATTGCAGCGACATATTTTCCGACGCCGAAACCGGCGGATCGGAGGATGACGTAAACCTTAATCAATCCGTGGAAAATGACAATTTACCGTTGTCTTCTCTCCGGCATCGGCGACCTTTTTCTTTCAATGATTCTGGTAACGAGTCGACTAATTTTCGACCTTTCATAAGTTCCGAGAGTTATTCGAATTCGAGAGAGCGAAAGATAAATTTCTCAAGGAAATTTATGGCAGAAGATAAGGATAAGAATGGAAGTTTGGACAATATAGAAAGTTCGAACTCAATGCAGCTTGACTTGAGCACAAAAAGTCAAAAAGGTATAGGTGATGAACAAAATAAGGAGATTCCAACAGGTATGAATGCAAATAGTGTAATAATAGATAATTCGAATGAGGATTCTTCACTGCTGAAAGAGGATTCTGTAATTACTCATGTAAACAATGACGAAACCGATAATTCGGAGGAAGTTAATTCACATTTCAGAGAAATTGATGATTCAAGTTCGAATATTTTGTTTGATTTAGCGAATTTAGTCATAAAATCTGTTGGATATCAAGTGAATATGTTGATAACTATTGTGAGTTTGATGATAAAGTTGTTTACATTTCCTGTATGGATAATATATTGCTCTTATATGTTTGTGATGGATCCATTTCAAATAATGAGGCGTGTGAAACGATATGTACTACACAGGTTTATGAGGAGTTTTGGGTTTGTGTTTGAGAATACGTTGAAATTTGTTTCTAGATGGTTGAAGGAGCAGAGTTCAGTATGGAGGTTGGGGCTACAACTTGGATGGGGATGCTTGTGGTCTGTGTATGTTTGTTTTGTGTTGGTTGGATTGCTGGTATCGGCTTTTATAATGGGTGGCATCTTGATAAGAATTATGGTGGAAGAGCCTATCAGGATGAACGAGCCTTTGAATTTTGATTATACAGCAAAGAGCCCAGTTGCATATGTGCCGATAATAAGGAGTCCAGGTGTGACCTGTGGTGTAGATAGTCAAGTGGAGGTTGGAATGGTTGATGGGGTGCGAGTTATCCCACCTAATCATAAGTTGCAGGTTACTGTTTCCCTAATGTTGCCCGAGTCAGATTACAACAGAAATTTGGGCATTTTTCAGGTATGAGCGCAAAGACAGTTTCATACATGATGGATATTTTGCTGCTAGATACAGAATGGTTGTACTTGGAACTTATTGTCCATCGTTCATCAACATAGGTTCATTGACCTGATTGGGAAGATGTTTTTTTTAAAAACAAATTGTGAAGTTATTGCTTTAGTTTATGCGTACAAAGTTAGTCCCAACAGCTATGGAAGTCGCTTGACTGTGTACATGTATGCCATATTTGTTATGTTTGGTGCTTTCTGCAAGGATCAAATTCTGTTGTATATTCAGATGGAGGATATAGTCTAGACAGGATTTTCTATTGCAAAATGATTATAAACAGCTATCATCCAGATAAGTTTAACTAATGCACAAGTTGGAGTTTGAATAAGCTTTAGACATCTGATTTTGCTGACTGCGTATCTGGTTTGTGTATGGCATGCCATAGGTTTTTAAGCTAGTGCATTTTTCAGTTGATATACTTTTAAAAAAGCTGCACATAGAAAATGAGACCCAGGGGTGTGCGGATGGGAAATAGTTGTAAGAATAAAATGTTTGTCTCACGGTGATTTGAGTATTTGATATCAATTTCTTTCTCCTGTCTAGTGTCTATTTACAAAGTTAACATGTATACTCCCTCCAATTCTAGTTTCATTTTGTCCGTTTCGTCTATATATTGAAGAACTTGGCACAATTAATTTTATTGATTCACTCCTGGTAGAACTTCAAGCCTTCTACCTATTTTAGGAAAGCAATGTTGAGATTTACATTGCCGACCCAAAATAATTCTAGTTCTTGAATTGTTGGTTTGTTATGCATTTCTACATGTCCGGTCTTACCTGAATGATTTACTAATTCTTTTGTTTCTTACACCTGAAGGTTCGGGTTGATTTCCTCACTTCTAATGGTAAAGTGCTATCTAGCGCCAGGCGACCTTGTATGTTGCAATTCAAAAGCAATCCTATACGCCTTTTTTCTACTTTTCTTAAAGCTGCCCCTCTTGTCACTGGATATACATCAGAATCCCAAAAGTTAAAGGTAGACTTAAAGGGCTTCACTGAAGGTTTCATTCCAACTGCATGCTTGAGGGTGATCATTGAGCAACGAGCTGAATTCCACCCTGGAGGTGGAGTTCCCGAAATATATACTGCCTCTTTAACACTGGAGTCTGAACTTCCTTTTATTAAAAGAATGCTATGGTATTGGAAGACAACATTATTTGTGTGGGTTAGCATGACATTGTTTACAATGGAATTCCTTTTCGCTCTTCTTTGCTGCAAACCTCTTATCATTCCAAGTTTACGATTGCGGCATCACTCAAACAGTCGTACAGGTTCACCGAACAATGCACCTATTGGAAGGTAGTAAAAGCTTATGGTTTGATCTCTTGAATCATGCTGCCATTTCTTTTTTGTTTGTACATAACAGGTAATTGTCGGTTTATTCTTTTTCCCCAAGTGTAACTCATTTTAACATGTATGCATAGTCAATGGTTTTTATTTTTTCTCTGGAAATGTACACCCTCTCATGAGCTTTCAGTTTCTTTGACTAGTATAACATTGTGTCCTGAATTTTACAAATGTCGGCTACTTTGTGTTTCTGCAAAGCATCATTTAGAAATACTGCAATATAGTCATTTCCTATTTGGACAGAGTTCTGGAAAATTTCATGTGGTCATGAGACTACTGCCTCGTGATAATATTTTCTTATGGTAAAACCTCAAAATGATTCATGGAGCGCCTGAATTGAAGAATATAATGTAAATATTAGCTAAACAGTAGATATCCAAATATCTATCATATAAGTTATAATATATAGTAGCTGCCAAATGCTTCTATCGATTACAAAGAACTGCATAGATGACCAGAACAGTGGTTTTTTATTAAGCATTTTTGGGCTTATCTTCTGCGGAAAGATTTAAACCTAGACCTGAGAAGTGTTTGATTATTCAGACTGGGACAGTAGTATTTGTCATTTAAACTTTGTTTTGGGCTAATCTTCGGAGAAAGGGAAGAAACTTAGTGACTTCATTATAGGACTTAACAGACTTCATTGCATTGTAAAACCAGATACCAGTTGTAGCTCCTGCTGTAGGACCCAAAATGTATATCCATTGTTTCTTGTAACAATTTGATAAAATTGCTGGTCCCAAACTTCTTGTTGGATTAATTGATCCCCCTGAAATAGGCCTGTTCATCACAATAGCCAAATGTACCCAGTCAGGCAAAATTGGAGAACGAAGAAGAGTTAAGACTCCAAATAACACCGTTAGAAACTTTTACTCCCTACTCAGTTATGAGTGTTGGCCCTGTACTTGTTTTATTTGTGAAAAACATGTTATTATATTGGTTCATCCCCATGCTCCTGTTCTTGTAGCTTTTCACTTAGTTTTGACTTCCAATTTGCTGATGATAGGCTGAACTGTGAAGTATTCTTCCACTTTGAGATGCTCATGTTTATTTTCTGTAGCTATTTTAGGAAAACACATTTTTTTGAACACTAGAAAAATGCATTCTGAAATGGGTCCAAAGTTAGTGGGAAAACAGAAGTTATCTATTTAGCATACCCAGCAAGGATAGAGTTAATTGTGATTACAGCTCCAATAACATGTCCATTGAGTTCTCCAACCTGCATTAGTAAACAGAGAGAAGGATAGAATAAGTCAAATTCTGTCCTAGGATCTTTACATCTAAACAAGCAGTGATCACTAACAGCTTGTTTATCCATTGCGGTGCCTGCAACAACAAACATGAGGTAGAAAGTGATCATGAATTCTAATCCAAGAGACTACAAATCTGAGCCAGCTAGAATTGTTCTCAGAAACTGAAGTTGCTCTTCCTTGAACATTAATCTCACTGTGACAGTTGCTAGAGTTGCTCCCACGACTTGTGCTAACATATATGCTGGCACCTGGAAATAGAGTAGCCCAAAAAGTAAGGAGAAACATCCTTAAGTTTTTTTTTTTTGAATGTTGTTTAGTTTTTTTTTGCTGTAGTTTCGGTAACTGAGAATGGAGAAACTTGCATTTCTCCATGCTACCCTTTTACATGAAGCAAAAGCAACGGTGACAGCAGGGTTAAAATGGGCACCAAAAACAGGCCCAACAGTGTAGATCATAACCATCATAATCTTTTTGTTTATCACCATGGCAGCAAAACCAGCAAACATCGATAAGTAGGTGCCTAAAAGCTCTGCCACTAACTGCATTGAAAACACAAGATTACTCATCAACTTGCTCCATTTTTCTGTATTATAATTGCATGTTATGTTATATGGACAACTAGTTTGCCTTGTGACTCTCAGTGTTACATTAGGTGCTTGCGGCGTTTTGCCAGTTCAAGGTGTTTTACAATGTGTTGTGAGATTATCTTCTTTAAGCTAAGTGAGCTTTCCCATAATGCTTCACACCCTTAAAAGTACCACTACCATATATGTGTCTTAGCTTGTTTTTCTTATCAATTTTAATGTGAAACTTCATTCATACACCTGACAGTGTTGCACTAAACCACTTGTTAGAAAGTGAAGGGTACTTGTGTAGAGTTATTTATGCCATTATCTGCAACTCAGACAAGTTGATGTAATGTGAATGAGATATCTTCAATTTTCAACTTGTAAAATCCTTTAGTAGATTGAGAACTACTAAATTGCTATGTATACTCAAAGCTCAATTTAGTTGTTCAAATGGTAAAGTTGAGATGTATAGTAATAATGTTAATTGGGGTGGATCAGTAGAGGACAAGAGATCAACCAACTTCAAGAGGAAGAAAGCTTTTTGGTGAAATGCATTGAACATTCTGTTGCACATTAGTTTTAGATGCTACCATCAGTTTTCTCCAGTCTTACATTTATCACAAATTGTAAATTCTAAGGGTGCGTTCGCTACGGAGAAAAATATTTTTTTAGAAAATGTGCTCCTACCTTCTACCTTCACAATGTTTGTCTAAATGCTTTTTACGTTCGTATTCACATAACTTAGAGTTCGACAAATTTAGATTAGGGTGGGGCTCATTTTTGGGCATGTGCTACCAACAAAATGTTTTCCAACGGAATTATATATTTAGGTACAAATTACTGTACACTTAGTATGGATGTGGTAAAAGAATCAAAATAAGTAAGTTCAACAAAAAATATTACAATGAAAATGCTTCTTGCTAAATACACAAATCAGCAGTTAATTAGCAAATTAAAGATGGTCAATCCATTCTTACCACAGAAGTGTTTCTCTCAGATATACTAAAAAAAAAAGTTTAAGGAAATTAGAAAACAATTGTAGGTGGAAACTTGCTAATGTTAATAAACGAGACAAAAAGTTTTTCCCAACTTAAAAATCAAATAGTAGTGCATGCACTACTACAAGAGTAATGGGAAAGGACAGGAACGGAATATAATATAGATTGTGGTGGAATGAATAAGATCTCTTCATCTTTAATTAGATATCTCGAGTCACGCCTAGGACTGAGCATGAAAAAATCCCGACAAAGAGTGTTTTCCCCCTTTAATGAGTTTAATACAATGCAAATTCAAATCAAGGCGCTGAACGGACACCTTACTTATTCATATAACAAAATGAAATAAATACTTAAACAATACATACACTATCGACATAATTAAAACTTGAGTAGATTATTTTACTTCTTTTTTCGTGTACAAAAGTTAAACAAGACTAATTTGCAACATATTTTTCTTTCTTTTTTATATCTATTTCTCAAAATTTAAAAAAAAAAAAAAAAGTTCTAATGGGAGGGGTTACGTAGTAGGGTTTTGGATTTGAGAAAAGATCCACTTTTGGTAATTTCACGTAATGGCTTATCAGTAAATCTGATGATGTTGTAGACCCAAGCACCAGCTATGGCCCCACCTATTGGGCCTAACATGTAAACCCATAAACCTTTGTAATGGCTTGACACTATTGCTGGGCCCAAACTCCTTGCTGGGTTCATTGATGCCCCTGATATTGGCCTGTTTACTCCAGCCCAACAAATTATGTTACATAACACTTTAATATAGAAACTAAGAACAAATATGAAATAGCATCACAAATAGGTAAGTTCATTTTAGGGAGAGGTTGTTTCGTACGGAGATGTGATAGACAAAGTTTTTTTCGCATGGATTGAGACATTTCATGAGATCAGTTATTCTGTTATATATATGGTATTGGTATGATGTATTCCATCGTTATAGTATAAATAGTAAGATATATAATCTCGGAACTAATTAATATCCCTCACAAAATGCTAAGATAGTCCTGAATTTTGTTCTGGGGTTTATTACACCCTCTTTTTGTTTTTGGTTGTCCACTATATTATTTCGGGATATTCAACAATATTTTGACCGGTTTATAAAAACAACGAATAATTTATCTATCATGTTGTGTATATTTTTACCCTTGCTATTAAATACTATTCTTTCTTTTCAATTTTTAGATGACTTATATTTAATCAAGGTCATTATTTGGTAAAACTACTCCTATTATTTAATATTTCTTATTTCCTATATCAATGGACAACTACTATTGAATAAAGGGAATATCTTATATTTCTCATACCAAACAATCCCAAGAGTTTATTTTCAATAACTGAGGATATTTATAATTTGTTTGACCAAACTTTCAAAATAGATTTATTTATTACAATTATTTTTTTGATCAAAAATACTTTATGGAAAATATTTTTAAAGAATAAACAATTTGTATTTGACAAAAAAAAATCAATTTTGTAAATATTATACCAACTATTTTCTCTTAACCAAGGTTCCGGAGAAATAAAGATTTTTATCAGCTTCTGAATAATAGTTTTTTCCTACTATTGAAAAACATTACATTTCTTTATTAAAAATTTGAACAAAACACCTCAACTTTACAAAATAAGTATACTTTTTTAAAATGATTTTTTTCCTAGAACTTGATCGAACATGCTATTAGTGAAACTCTAGAAAAAACATAAAATAAAATAATAAATAAATTATGTATTAAGTCAATTAAAAAAATGAAATCTTTTTTTTTTCTAAAATAAAAGCCGTGTATTTTTTGTGCACGAGGATGTACGTAACCCTAACAAGGCAATGGTCAAAAGATTTGAACACCCTTTATTCAAATATTTTGAGTCTTGTTCACACTATATAATAAGATAATTTTTTTTATTATATAGTTTTCATTTTAAAATAATGAAAGAGTAATAAATAAATCACTTAATTACCCGGCAAACATCACATTAAGCAATACGGTTGCCCCGACAGCAAGACCAGCAAGTTCTCCAATCTGTAAATAATTAATAATTCACAAACAAACAAAAAATAAATCAAATCAATCATGATTCATAAGAGTCCACGTATAATTGAATAAATTCATATTATTTAACAAAGTCACAATCTTCTTACTAATTTAATCATGATTATAATTGACTACCCTTTGCGTACGATATATATTAAAGATCTCGTTCTTAAGTTTTTAATTAATTAAGTTCAAATAATATACTAATTAAAAAATTAAAAATAAATTAAAAAATATAATACTTACGGCTCTATTATCAGTTGCGACACCAGAAATGACAAACATAAGGTAAAATGTGATTATAAATTCGAGAACAAGAGATTGAACGTCTGATCCAGTAGGTGAGGTTCCAACGAAGTGATCATGTTTCCCATTGAATATTAATCGTAGGGTCCCACTTGCTAATGTTGATCCAATCACTTGAGCTGCCACGTAGGCAGGTACCTATGAACAAGAAAGAAAAACTTATTAATATTTATTTTTCTAAAACTCCGTGCCATGAAAAAAAATAAAAAATTCTTTTATATAAAAATTTAGATAATTAATTAGCGGAACTTGCTAAGATTTTGTAATGGTCATTAATATAGGTTAGGAAAAAACTTTGAAATATCTTTAATGTTCTCAACTAATCAAAACTAACGGATTAGTTTGAAGAACAATAAAAGTTTGAAAAAATTTACAAGAAAAAGTCATGATCTTAATTACAAATCAGTAGAGTCAATGTGTAGCTATTATTATAATTAATGAGAAAAATAAATTCATAATCCGTACAAACCTACATTTTCTATTTTAAAATATAATTTTATATCCCCGCCTTCTTGTATTGTTTGTCATAGTTTCAATTTTTAGAATCAAACTATAAAAACTTTGATTAACATTTTAAGATATATTTTTTCGTTATATTAATATGCAAAAAAAATTGTAATTTATAGTATTTTTCATATAGTTTTAGAATATATAATTTTTTTTAATGTGATCTAATTTAACTTTGAAAATTAATCAAATTAACTTTTGAAAAATATAACATGACAAATAATATCGGACAGAGAAAGTATTTATATACCAAACATGTTTGTGACAAGGAAAAAGAACAGGATTAAAACCAAAGGGTGTAAACAATAATAGTTAATTTTACAAACTCAGATATATAATATAATTTTTCGATAAAATAAGGACCGAAGAACCCCTGCTGCGTGCCTCTCTTAACTCCGCCCTCGTTTGTGACGAGTCATTTTGATATTTGTACTTTGTGATATTGTAGATACAAACATGGTATATTGACATTATCTCCTATATATTATTTACCTTAAAACTAACTAAATAATTACACCATCTATATATCTCAAAATGTCAAAACCAAAGAACTTAGTTCAAATGAGTTAAAAACAGTCGCATATTAGTTGCAGAGCGGAAACACAAATTGTGTTATACGAACTTAAACACTCCTAATCAATTTCTAAGATTGAATTAGGCTCAGATATCGTATTTTTACATGAGTGATTGATCAATTTGTAAGCGAAAGTATGAGAGTTGTAATACCTGTTTCCAAGGGAACCTTTTGTTAGATGCAAAAGCAATAGTAACAGCAGGGTTAAAATGAGCACCAGAAATGTGTCCAACAGAGTAAACCATGACCATCACCACCAACCCCCACACTATTGATATCCCCGGAAAAGTCACCATTCCTTTATCGGCATTCACCGCCACTGATCCACACCCCGCAAATATCAAGAAATACGTCCCTAACGTCTCTGCTATGATCTGCACATTAATACGGAGTTAGAGTATCAGATACGAGTTTCACTGAGTTTAATTTATTTTTTTTTCTATTCGAACTCTGTATTTTGTATTAGAAACTCATTAAATATATAAAACTCACCTTTTGGATGAAGGGAACCGTGACAAAACTGCAAGTTGAGTTTGAGGAAGAATCTTGATGTGATACTGAATTAGCACAATTTTTATTGTTCAAATTATCATCAGCATCTCTAATGTTCAAACTTATTGATCCATTAGCTCCTCCTCCTATTTGCTGATCACCCATAATTCAAGAAAAAAAGAAACAGGGGTGATGAACTAAATTGAATATAGGAAGAAGTGAGCAAACAGAAATTCTATAATTTATAAATACAAAAACAGAGATGAGCACAAAAAGGATTTATATATGGGAAAAACAGAGAGAGAAAGAAGGGGAATGTGGCCTTTTTATTTATTTATTTTATTTTATTTTCGGAGTGATCAACGAGGGCTCATGTATGTTAGTCTCCCGTTTTAATTCGATTGTCTAATTTTAAAACTTTATAGCTTGAAATTAAAGATAGATTAGATGTATCGAAGTATTTTAAATTCATTTGTGTTACATATAGTATAAAAAGTAAAATTAAAATTTTTATTTAGTAACAATATATATTTTAAATATCGAGAAAAAATTTATCCGCACGGAGTGTTTATACTAATTCAATACATGCATGTCATGTGTTTAAATTTATAATTCATTTTACTTAAATTTAATTAATTAACATGTGGTTTACTTCATTAAATCACATAATAATAAAAATTAAATTAATTTAATACAAACACCCAATACGAATAAATTTTTTCTCAAATGGATCACAAATATACTAAAATAGAAGTGAATATGAAATGGTAACCCGCAAAATATGGAAAAAGACTTGTGACAACAAATTAAAGTGCAGTAAATGATATTAGTGGATATAAATTTTTTTTTGTAATTATTTTAACAAGAGGCATAAACATTTATTATTATTAGGAAAATTCGACTGATACAATTGAAAGTGTGACGTACATTTATTAAATGTGAGACATTGAAGGCTGATCCAACAACCCACCGGTAATACAGAAAAGTTATTATGAATGCAAAAGACGATAGAGTAACCATTAATTTTCACAACTATTAACTAACTTTCCTATTATCTATATATTACAAATCTTAACTTCTTTTCTCTTCTTTTTTCCATAATTATTATGAAAATCACTACAAACAAAATTAAGTTATAACGATAACCAATTCTTGTAAATCTGACACTTTTCACTTTCGGTAGTTTTACGTGGAGCATTTTTCATGAAATTAAGGGCAAAAAGTTCAAAACTAGCTAGCGTTGAAATATCCGTTTTGTATTTAACATGTCATGTTTAAACACGTGATATGAAATCATGATTTAAAAAAAAAAATATAAATTGTAAAAATTATTAAAATATTCTTAATTCTAATGATTTTACTGAATAAACAAACTATAGTTTATAAATACATGTTACAAACGTTCCATCGATAATCACATATCTTCAATTTACTCGATATCTGTCAGTTGTCACGATGAAGGCACATTATAGACATTGAATTTTTTTTTGACTCTACAAGATACGTTTAATTTGAGTTGAGTCTCTACAAATTTTGTTCACCTCAAATTAGGATTCATGGAGGCTACTTAACTTTAAACCCTAGTTTATGTCTATATAAATGATACTAAATTCTCTTAAAAGATATCTCAGAAATTCCATAAAAAGATCAAAATCTCGAATACTCCGCAAATTGATGAATTATTCGTATAGAGAGATCAAATCTTAATCATCCTAGATCGACAACTACGCTACTAAAAGTCTTCAGGATAAATTCTACGAGAGTAGATCATGAATAAATTCTAAGAGAGTAGATCATTAATAATTCCTAGGAGAGTAGAATCAATGGATCAACAGAATTGCACTTACAATCTATCTTGATCAATAAAGTTATGTTTCTACTTATTTTATTGTGATCACAATTTATTTTTTGTCACTTTAAAATTTGTTGCAAACAAATTGGAACGCCAGTGGGACCAAATCTGCCCTTCATCTCTTATTTCATAAATCAAATTTGAAAATCTGAAGCTGCAAAAATGGAAGAATGAGTACTTCAAGCCTCGTCTTGAGTTTTATCAAGTCCACACTCTGACAAATCTTGAAGCATGGGACATTTGTAGACATTGAAATTTTGTGTGACTCTACAAGATGTGTTCAATTCGAGTTGAGACTCTACAAATTGTGTTCAACTCAAATTAGGATTCTTGGAGGCTATTCAACCTTAAACCCTAGTTTATGCCTATATAAAGGGTACTAAATTCTCTTAAAAGGTATCTCAGAAATTCCATAAAGAGATCAAGATCTCGAATACTTCTCAAATTGATGGATTATTCATATAGATATAGAGAGGTTAAATTAAATCAGCATACTTCGAAAAACTACGCCACTAACGACCCTCGAATCATGAATAAATCCTAGGAGAGTAAATGATGAATTAAGTCTTAGGAGAGTAGAATCAAGGGATCAACAGAGTTGCACTCGCAATCTATCTTGATCAATAAAGTTATGTTTCTACTAATTTTATTGTGATCGCAATTTATTCTTTGTCACTTTAAAACGCCAAGTGGGACTAAATCTGTCATTCATCTCATCTCTCATAAATCAAATCTGAAAATTTGAAGCTGCAAAGGTGGAAGAATGAGTACTTCAAGCCTCGTCTTGAGTTTCATCAAGTCTACGCTCCGACAAATCTTGAAGCAGGGGCATTTGTAGACATTGAAATTTTGCGGGACTGTACAAGGTGCGTTCAATTTGAGTTGGGACTTTACAAATTGTGTTCAACTCAAATTCTTGGAGGCTACTCAACCTTAAAAGCTTGTTTATGCCTATATAAGGACACTAAATTCTCTTAAAAGATATCTTTGAAATTCCATAAATCGATCAAGATCTTTACTCCGCAAATTGATAGATTATTCATATAAAGAGGTCAAATCTAAATCATCCTACTTCGAGAACTACGCCACTACCGGCCTCAAATCCTAGAAGATTATAATTATGGGATCAACAGAATTGTACTCACAATCAATCTTGATCAATAAAATTATATTTCTACTTATTTTATTGTGATCGCAATTTACTTTCTCACTGTAAAATTTGTTGTAAACACATCTATGTACACAAACAAAAGAACCACATTAAAGAAACTACTGCAATTAAATCCATGTCATATAGTACGTAGTATATTCCAAAATCTTTTGTCATTCTATGAATAACACAAAAAGAGAGGTATATTCACCAAATGGTAAAATTTTCTTAAATTATCTGAAGATATTTTGCTGAATATATATACTACTACTCTTTTTTGGTATGAAATTTGATTTTGCTAAAATATCTAACTAATAACAAAATATCTTCCTATCTTATTCTGTCACAGCTAGCCCCTATTAGTTAACTATAGATATTAGATAATTATATACATATTAGATATAGATAGATTACTCAAATATTATACATATGATATATTTCTATCTTTAGTTGTGTGAATTGCTATTTATGTTAAATCTTAGAGTATTTTATAATTTTATTTTCAATAACTTTTCTCATTTTTCCCTTTTCAGGAGATTAAGGCCACGGTCGTGACTGCCAAGTGTGGAACGATCTTATACCATATTATTTTCTCATTTCAAATTGTTTGCATTTTACTTCTTTTTTAAGTATGTTTTAAAAAAGAATGTCACTTTTTTTTTTATAATTTGTTTATTGTTTACATGACATATTATTAATTTATGATACGAATTTAAATTTTTTTTGCAAAATATATTTATCAAATCAAAAGACAATAAATAAATTTTAAATACTCGAAATATATTATGTCAATAATAACTAGTGAACAAAAGAAGACGATTGGCCAATGATTGGAGCAAGCTGGCAGAACTAATAGGTAAGAGAAAAGGATTTCAATTTTTAAAAAAATTAGGATAAAAAATATTTTTTTATACTGTCAATATATATAACTTAATTTCATATATAAATTGCTGAACTCTTAGAAATTATTTTTTATTAAAAAGGTAATGGTAAAAAGGATCAATGTTGGCTTGGATTATAAGTTCAAATTCTTATTAGATATTATAATAATATAAATAAATAAAAAGCTAATATCTTATTTTGAACCATTTGACATAAACTTTTGAGTTCTGGATCAGCAATTGGGGGAAGATATAAACTCCTTAGACTTGTATTTCATTAAAAATATATGTCAAATTATTAATTTTAAAATTTAATGAATTTAAATTACACATATTTAATTTTATAAACTCATAAGCTTCAAATCATGTCGAAAATAATGAAGGGAATTATTTAAATTAAAACTCGGTATTTTTATAAAAACACCCCTTTATATTATACTCACCGTCCAATCATGCATGGACCAGAAGAGACGTTATATAAATTATTGAAATAAACTAAAGTTTTTAATTAAATAATTTGATGGTGGGAGATATATAGCTGATCAACTGCTTATTCAGTTACTTTAAAATCAAGTTAACGAACTTGATACCTTCCTTGCTAATTGTTGTTACCTATCATGTTGACGTTTCATTAGTTGGCTATATTTGAAGTTTTCCAATCCAATCATACAATTTTATATTCAATTTTTTCCATGAATTGTGACCTACTACTCAAATATATATTTGTGTATTCATACTATATATATGATCGTCATATCATACACCAATCTTTTCTTAGTGTGGGTATAACCATCAAATATAGCTTACTTTTATTTATTGCAACATAACTTTTACACACAAATTTGAATCATTGAAAGAGAGACCGTTGACTTAGAAAAAAAATGGACAAAGTTATTTTATTAGTGATGTACCTAAAATTTCCGTACGAAATTATTTGTCATGTAGCGTTTTTCAAAAGTCTGACTAAGTTTCAAAGTTAGATTAGATCACAATAATTAAATATTTTAAACAAACAAATTAGATATTTTAAAACTATATGAAAAGTACTATAAATTGCAATTTTTTTGCATATACTAATATGATGAAAAAAATACTTCTTAAAATGTTAGTCAAAATTTTTATAGTTAGACTCTAAAAATAGAAATGATGACAAACAATACCTGACGGAGGGAGTATGTAATATCAATTCCTAAGTTGGTTAATTAGGATATAGAAGAACTATTATTTTTAGTAGAGTAATTATTTATATGCCAAATTGATATTTACCTATTATACCTATGCTTATTAAAAATTAAAATATGTTATTTTTACATATATAAGCAATTTTCTCGTAAAATGTAAAGAGATATCGGAAGTCAAATAATATTTTTGCATGCCAAAGTTATCAATTATCATGTCATCCATAATTAGTCG